CTTAGCATAATGCTCTCCAGTTCCATCCATGCCGTTGCAAATGGTAAGAGTTCCTTCTATTTTACTGCAGCATAGTATTCCATCGTGTAGATGTACCACAGTTTTCTAATCCACTCATCTGCTGATGGGCACTTAGGCTGTTTCCAAATCTTAACTACACCATAGTACTTTTTATCATATTTTGAAAAGGGAAATGCTGTTTTTTAGCACTGTAGCTGTAAAATTAAAACTGATGTATGGAAAGATAATGCTCAGTTTTAAACGTTAAAAGTGTACAAGTTGCTTTGTGACAATAAAACTAAATGTGTACACACAAAAAAAAACTGATGTAAAAAAAATATAAGGCCTTACAGTAAATTTAGGCTAACCTTAAAACATTATGAGGTAATGTACTTACTGAAAACTGGAAATGAAGTAGATGATGGGGAAGAACTAATAGACACTCCTGGAATTAAGAGGCATGTCCTGAAACTAATTGAAACAATTTTAAAAATTATAAAAAATATTCAGAAAAACAACAACAAACAACACACCAGGCAGATCATAAAGTGGGTGTGATCTTAAGAAGTACATCAACATTGATGAACAAGATTCACAGTCAAAATAAAAGGTCCCAGGTACACTGTCCTACCAACCTTAGTCTTCCAACTTCTTTGCTTAGTGCCTCCCAATAGCAGTCTGCAATCAAAACAAAACATGCTATTTAACATGAAAGAATGAGTTTGTACATTATAATTAAGTCCTTTTGCTATCAAATGTATACACTTTATCAGATGTATTACCAACAAATGTTTGAAATTATTGGTCAATTTAAAATTTGTTATAGTCAACTGTAAAAATTAGGAGAGTTTATACTTGTGAATAAATATTTTTCCTGTAAAAGAAATAGTGAATGACTTCAAGGGAAAATATAATTCTCTAGCCAAACACATCAGTCACCTCTGGAAGTATCTAGAACTCTCTTTCAAAAGAATATTGCCATCAGATATTGAGATCATAAAACAAATAATAAAATTAGATATTTTATAGCTCTTTTCTTTTTTAAATTTAAGATTCCAGAGCCACAATCCTGAAGATTCTGATTTCCCAGAAGTGCTTGCATATATGTATTTTTAAGTAGCTTCTATAGGTTTGTTCAAGGATCAGCCCAGTTGAGGGGACCACAATATTAGGAAGATGGAGTGAAAGATTTTAGCAGGATTCATAGAGATACTTGAAAGGGCAAACATACACCAAAAACAGACTTGGTAGAGAAAACAGTTAATAAACAGAATCCTTAATTTCCCAGTAAAACCTGGTCAATACAGATATCTTTAGCCAGTTAATAGGCATTTGAAAGAGATAAACATAAAAAGGGTGATAGTCATAACTAAATTTCATTAAATGGCTTCATTATGTAGAACCCGAGTTCTTCATTCTTGACTTATTTGTAACTATTTTGTAATCTGCAACTCAATGCTCCAGACTGGTCAGATTTTGCTTGAGCTGGAGAGATTCCTAAATTAGATTCTTGAAAGAACCTATTTGACTTTTAAAAATGGTTATCCTGATAAGATCTTATGGTGCATATTTAGCTCTTTGAAGTGAATAACTGCTTGTGGGCATCAAGAAAGGACAGTTGACCAAAAACAGAATATCCTTTGCACTTCAATCGTTTATTTGTTTAGGCTCCCCTCACCTTTAAATCATCACAACAATGATCATGTATAACTCTGTGGAAAGATGAGTGGCTTTTGTTTTGATCACTCAATGTGGGCAATTTTGGAGAACGAATATAAATGTAAATTTCCTGTCTTAAATGGAAAAATAAGAAGACATTAGCTTTGCTGTCTCATTGTGTTTGGTTTACAGTCCCAGAGTAAAGCTTTGCAGATGATGAGACTGAAAGAACACTTGAAATTGGACTTCATAAAGGAGCCATTAAGTCCAGGTCCTTGAGATGCCTGATAGAGAGGATCACCAGAGTATGGTCATGCTCCTCCCCAGGGAGGACATCCACCTGGAACAGAAAAACCACAGAGCCTTCACGGCCACAGCCACAGGAGAAGGCTCTGAGCTTGAGGATTACACATACAGAGGCTGAAGCATTAAAAACAACCGTGTACACTCTACTTAACGCAGTGCTAATGCCCACTTAAAAAATGAGCAGGATCTCTAAATAAAGGACACCCATGCACTAGAATGTGTTGCTTGCACTTGTAAAAGTTTATGACTTTCAAAGCACAACCATGTACCTCCTCTTTGGGTCTTCCTGGTTGTTGGTTGTTTTACATGTTACTTACTTTGATATAGGTACAATCCCTTTGGATACACTACTAATGAGAATTTTAAGTTGAGTTGTTCAATCTAGAATTAGAATTTATGTTGTCAGAATTGGAGGATCTCAGGTTTTAAAGATTTCTTTTAATGTGGCCACCAGAAAAGGGTGGACACTTTTATAAAGTGTTTAGTTGTTATATAGAAATTAAGCAATTTATAGAG